ATGTACACCTGTTCGATGGTAATTTCAGGCTCAGAATGTCGGCGATTGTCAACACAGATTACAACATTTTATTTGATAACACTTGTTTAATATTTTTATAATTAGACATCGGTATATAATATATATGATTCTTTAATATATATATTTTGTGAAGAATATTTCTTGCAAATAATTATTTCGCATTTATCTGCTTTCTGAAAATTTGTAATTGGTAATCTGCTAATTCTTGTCTTTCTTTCTTATTTGTTTTTTTCTTTTTCTTTATATATATAATGATGTTAATAATACTAATGTACAGAGGCCCTTAAATAACATTTCCCCGAGAAGAGTGCATATCTCTGTATATAATGTTGGAATAATATTTGTTTCATTTGTGCACTTCATCGAAAAATATCTGCGCTTTCGCATTCTAATACTTAAATTTATTTTAAAAGGAAAAAGAAAAGCCAATTCTTATATTCCTTCATGTTTAAAGAAGTCTTTCATCGACTATGACGGACTATTTCCTGTAAGTATTTTTTCTTTTTTTATTCATTATTATTAATTTTTTTTCTTTTATTATAATCTTAATACAAATACTAATATAGTATTTTATACAATAATAATATCATACCTATTATAATATTTATAATAATGATATAAATATTATAGTATTGGTATACATTATACAACTTGTATTAAAATTATAATAAATTTGAATCTGAATCTGACAAAAGAATCGTTTTAAGATGCTGTTCTGTTAGAAAGTTAAATATTTCCTATCGATGGTATCATTGATTTAACGCATTTAATCTTATTATAATCTTACTCCTTAACATCTTTATGCGAAGTTCCTAAAAGCAAGAGAATAAAATCTATCAATCGATCTTATCTAATCGGCATTATTAGATTATGTATAAAGAAATAAATTTCATCGTTTTAACATGATTTATAATTTTCAAATAATAATAATCATGTCACGCTGTACGTCGATGTTGCTCCTTTTTTTACTTGTTATCTTTTTCTTCTATTTGTTATTTTTCTTAAGACAAATACAACAAATAGGCATGAAATTATATATATATATATATATTTTTTTTTTTTTTTTTTTTTTAATAAAAATATTAAGTCATCCTACAAATAATACAATTTTTTAGAGTTATTATTTTTATTAGAGTTCTTAAAGAAATTATACCAGTGAAAATAATCGCAATATAACTTTTATAATAAAGTAAAAAAAGAAAAAATTTAATGGAAAATTATTGTATTATAGAAATGAAAAAAAATACATTATTTAATAATGGACATAAGATAATTTATTTTCATCTAATAAATTTATTGAAAAAAGCGAATTTTTTGTAAGATGACTTAATATATCCGTTTGCAGTTTTATTTGAGTTTTCTTCTATTTTTTTTTTTTGATATTAACTGTACGGAAGCAATACAAAACATCTAACGGAGAGAATGTATTTGTATAACAATATTAGTGTATTACATTATTTATAATTTATTAGTATTAATTCGTTTTGTTTTCGTACAGTAATAAAGGACATCGCAAACGATTCAAATTTTTAATGTTAATTCATAATTCGCTGAATAAAATGAGATTCTTGTTGCTCTAAATGCAAGCAACATTCCGAAATATGATCGATGAAATGAGCTTGTGAAATTTGTTCAGGAAAAAGCATCAATAAATAAATAACTGATATTTCTTGTGCACATTAGAGCAATGTGACATTGTATAATTTGCTACGAACAAGTAATTACAATAAATATTCCTATTTCTTAGAGATATTTTTATATTTTTTAACACAATAAATAAAATCGTGTTCAAAATCATGGATTTCTTTTTCATTTACATTCTCTTCGTATCAGATATTTATAGTAATTTATTTTATAAAAATAAGTAAAAAGTTATAATGAAAAATAAGAAAAAAAACAGAAGAAAAAGGAAGTATGTAGAAGTTTGAAAGAATTTGAAGGCAACTAGAGTTCTCGAAAATATCAATTTTTTTTTTTTACACATATATAATTATCACATATTATATGTGAAATTTTAAATATTTTATGATTATTATGTTTACGATTACAATGAAAGTTTCCGATACGATGAAAATAAATTATCATAAAAATTATGTAGAAGACATTATGTAGAAGATTATTGTAATTAAAACATATAAAAAAAAAAAAATTTTTTTAAAAATTGAATATTAAATGTTGTTATTATAAACATGACAGAACTTTTTTTAATTTTTTGAAAAATTATATTGTTTATCTATGATTTTTTGAATTTTTTGTTAAATTGATTTTTTATTGTTAATTAATAATATACTTATTTATAAAATACCTTTTTAAAGGATATTATCATACATGCGTAATACGCGTGTATATCTTTTCGAAAAGGTATTTTCTGTTCTTTTAAAACTTGCCGCAATGTAAATACATGTCCGTCGCAAATATCACAATGCTTATCGAACAAACTTCTAACTTCGAGATTTTTTTTTGTTATACTAATGTCCCATATCGTTCGGATCGTTCTTTAGAAAATGTAATGTATTTGTAAGTCAAAATGGCCATAATGGCAAATTTGGTCCAACAACTGGTTCTCGTATAGGAGCATTGGAATTAAAATCTGTCTATCGCGAAAAATCGTCTGCATATTTTGTTCGTGTATTTACTATTTATAAAATCTCAATATATACGTATGATTAAATGAAAAAAAAAAAATTATTAAATATAAACATAAATTCTTCTAACAATGATAATTATAATATATTTGGACTTCAATCTTTTCATAATAGCTTTTACCAAAATTTATTTTCAAAAAAGTTTTATAAAAAATTATTTAAAAATTATTTTGTTCATTAATTAATTCATCAACATAAAATATTAATATTATGCTTTATTTAAATTTATGTTTTAAAGTAATTTTACATAACAAACATAATTTTTATCTTTTTCTATCCACTCGCGAATGAACGAAATAAATAATTAATAATAATGTTTGTTTATGTAAAATTATTAAATAAAATTTAATATAATTGACATTTGAAATATTATGTGCAATATATAAATATATGCAATATTTCATTGTAATTAATACAACTTGAGATTTTTCATTTACAATTCTCAAAAACATTCTATTCTTTTTTTTTTAATAATATATTTTTTACTAATTAAAAGGAAAAATATTTAAAGTCAATAATTGTTTTATACTTTAAGTAATAATTCAACGTTTAAAACTTATTATAGAAGTATTACTATTACTTTAAATATATTGATAAAATAGCAAGAATATCCATATATAAAGCAATAAAAGATATAAATCAGGAGTTATATTCATCTATTATTAATAAAAGATATCTATTTATCATTATTTTTTACACATTCAAAAAATAATGAAATGTTATTACAAAAAAAAAAATATGTACTATAATATGTACATGCATCCAGTAATTACATGTATATTAAATATATTACAAACTTTTATATTTGCAGTATTAAATTTTTAAAAATGCAATATTAATATCTCGAATATCATTTATATAATTAAATTATATGCAGTATAATTGTAAAGATCATATGCACGTAATATGAAAATGATAACATTATTATTAAATTGTTATTTATAAAGACTTAGAATACTTTCAAGAATACAATTCATCTTATCTTATTAACCAAAAGTGAAAAATAATTTTTAAAGACGTTTCAAATCGAAAGTTTTAAGAGAAATATTTTTTAAATTTGATGAATTGTCTGCGGACGACATTGCATAGATTGGTCAGATTTTAATCCCTCAGCCTATTATTTCTATAATATGTGTTTTATATATGTATATGCATATCATGTGTATATATATGTATGCATTTATAAGTTGTCAAATATTTCACAGTGTAACATTTTGTTTCTGTTTTTTCTTCATACAATTATACTTTATTACCTACGCATGTACATGCATGTACTTTTTTTGGTACAATGCATCAATGCTGTATATAACAAAGATTTATGGTATGCTTTCTACGCAGAGTTATTTTTCATCGCTTCTATGCACGACTTATTATTTTTTCTATATTCGGTATTATTTCTTATAATATTATTTCTGTGTGACTGATATTATAATCGTATAACAGTTTTAAAAATATTTCAGAATTAAACAAGGAATAATAGAATGACTACAATAGATGAATAGCAACTTAGAACGTAATAAAATACATTACTGCAAGTAATATAAGAATAATAAAAAAAGAGAGAGAGAGAGAAAATTAAGAAATGGATGCACAGGGTTCGTTCAAGTGCGTTCATTTTATACAATTGGAGAAAGGATTCAAAAGAAGGAGTTAGGAAAAGAATTATAATATGGTGAAGAAAATGCCAGTAGAATAGCCGCCACTTTACTTTACTTCTGTTTTCCTAGATCACAGTCACATATATGGCTGCTAAATCACGGAACATATTTCATCACCAATTCTTTTTTTTATTTTTGAATAATAATAATAATAAAAAAAAAGAAAAAAGAAAAGAGGAAGAAAATATAGTAAAATAACTTCAAAATCTTATCAATACTGGAAAATAGTTCACTAGTTTACACAAGTACAAAATATAACATTCTTTGAAAGGGCAAGTGAGACACTCGATCCCTGTCAGGATCCATTCCTGTACATAAAAAAATATTCACGAAGTAATTTAATAATCGAGGAATAAATTAGGATATATTATATAAAATGTTATTTCTTTTTTCGTAACGTGAGAAAGTTTTATTAAAAATCACTCTTATTATTCTATATCGCTTTTTTCATATAAATTGTAAATTAAATTATTCGATTAATATAAAATTATTGCGAAAACCAGATGTTTTAAAATGAAAATACGCATATGTTTAAAATATTCTTCATGATAAAATAATGTATTTACAAAACTATTATTAAATGATATCGAATTTAAGATAACTTGTGCTTTTAAACAATATTATAAAATTTTTCTTTGAATGAATCATATTTTTTTTTTTAACTATTATAAATTACAAATATATTCGCCAGTTTTTTTCCCTTTTTTAAAGAAAAAACGAAAAAAAAACTACTATTTACGATAAAATTGATGCAATACGATATTTTATGGAAATGAAGATGCAGAGAAATTATATGAATGAGAATAATATTGTTTAAAAAGAGTGATATGAACACAGTATAAATGATTTCTAATAAACTTATCCGAAGAATATATTAACATTAAATTATATTTTTTTACATAATAAATATATTCTTAAAAAGAAAAAAATTGTATTAAAAGGAAAAAAGAAATCCTTCTTCGGAGTATAATTCACAGGAGTGATCAGTGCAGATTTCAAGTGTCTCATTTTTTCAGTAATCGCTTGCCACCGGTGCATTAACGCTCCGTAAAAAATAATAAATCAAAAAATCGTAAGAGAGTAATATTATGTACTATATACAAATAATATCCTAACACTTTAGGAAAGGATTAACTTTGGAGAAGGGTAAGGGGACCATTTCATGCGCAAGAAGAGTTCACGAAGGCCCACAATCTGTAAATTTTATCTTTTCTTTTCTCGTATTCTTTCTAATCCTGCCCGCGCTCTCATTTATAATTATTATTCTACAAATTACAATGCTCTACTCTACCGTTTCGGATGTATCCTAAATTTTATATAATATATATTCGGTATATTATATTTGTTTTCTATTTACAAAATATGTAGAATAGACATTGTTCCTATCCTAACTATAATATGCGTGCCGTGGCGCGAGACTTTTTTAAACCTTTCAAAGTGCGCTTTTTTTATAAACATATTACTAATTACATAATCTATTTTACAGCCAAATTCAACAATCTCCGCTAAAATTCAACGCGTTTCTATTAGAATATGAAATTTTTTATAACGTAAAAGCAATCATGTGATTGATAAAATGCACTAAAATAAACGAAATACGTTATATACATATAATGTATGTATAATTTGCGTAATGAACAACACGAGTTCCATTAAAAGCATAGTAACAAAATTCTCAAATCGCAACAACATATTCAATAAATCTTCTCGGCACTTCTTTTCTTATCTCGGCGCTCGATGGTAATATTAAATCTTATATATTTGCAAATTTTTCATTAGATCACACACGCATTTGATTATGACATGCTAAAGGTAAAAACAAATAATTTGTCATGGCCAAAAAAAAAAAAAGAAAAAAATACGGCCTCTATAAAACCGCTTATATCTAAATTGGCCAAAAAAAAAAAGGAAAAAGGAAAAAAAAAAAGAAAAAAAAAGAAATAAAGAAAAAAACAACTTCAGCATCAGCAGATCAACTTTAAAATGCTTATAAAACACAAATTCAACGCGTTGAATTTGAGCAGAGGTCTAAAAACAGTAGATAAGTACTTTCGAGAATATTGGAAACATATTACATATTATCTATATCAAGTGGTGTCTAACAATTAATTCTTTACTATTAAGGGATTTATTACGCATGCATTCCCTTGTTTGTCGCCGCACAATGGCACGATTTTTGTCTCCACTGTTATAATCTATGAATCACCAAAGTATGCTTTCGTCTTAAAATTGTCAGACACAGCATCATAGATACTTTAAACTCTCCAGATATCTCCCATTCCAATTCATGCCATAATATTTACAAGTAAAATAAACATATTTGTTGACTGCATTACATAAATTTTGTGCAATGTTTATCGCAGTTCTTTCTTTTATATTTTTCTTTTTTATCTATATCATATATAAAGAATAACTAAAGTATATATAAACTCTGATTTCATTTTATAATGTTTCATTAATTCTAATACTCTCTGATTACGACTTTCTCTTCCTCTTTCTCTCAAAAACACCCATACACATTCTGCACTCACGCGAAATTTCATTTTCTATATCACACATATTCATTTTTTTCTTTCTACTGGATCTCATAGTATTTTTAACAATGTTTAACAATGGCTTAGGCCTTTCATAATCCTTGCAAGGTATATCGATGTACAAATATCAGTCGTGCATATTTGGAATTATACAACTATGAGTTGTAACTTTATAACGTAGTAAAATAATTTTTTCATTTCTATATTACCATTTCATAAATCATCTTTGGATTTAGAATGCAGACGAGTATTGTCTTTCCTTCTGAGAGAAGAAAGCTCTTTTTTTCGAATTAAATATTTCGCGCGCGAAACAGTTATTTTATGTCATTATATTATTTTTTTCTCATTTTGTTATTAAACAAGATAATATGATTAAATTTTTAAGTTGAGCTTTTAATTTACTAATGAGCGTTATCGTTACTAAAATACAGTAAATTCTTTATCACGCAAATTTTCACAATTTTATATGTCATTATCCCAATAGAACACAGATACTCGAACACACATCGAAGTCAACATTAGTAATCTTGAGAAATACTCGATACGATATTTCTTTTATATACAATATAAAGATATTACTAATATATGTACATCGATTCACCTTGATATGCCTGTCTAAGTTACCTGCACCAGGTTATATCAAAGTTTGAATTGCACTAAAGCCTTGCAGCACTTTACAACTCGCTAAAACTTGTACATCAACAATTTTTCCAATAAAATCTTTCCTTTTTTTCAATGAATAATGATGTACTCATGTTGTGGAGTAAGGGGATGCATAGTATCACAGTTGGCACGTGGGCGCTAGCTACCACTACTGCTTACAGGCAGTGAATGTGGAGCTCCCATCGATGTAGGAGGAGCAGTCAATGGTCCTATAAAAATATTCTTTATATATTACTTGCCTTATAATTAATATTTAAAAAAATATAAAACTATCTCAAATAATTACCAGTTATATTAGGTGAAGATTCAGAAACAGGTAGTGGACTAACTAGACTGTTAGCACTCATAGGTGTAGAGTTAGCTTTTAATTTTTGTCTGACCTCCCTAATTTTTAATTGCAAACTTGTCTTATTAGGAAATATATCTGAATGTTTTGCTTGAAAAGTTGTAGTAGCTTGTGTTGAAGGAAAGTAACCATGTTCTTGAAATAATTGCATTACAAGATGTCGACGTTGTTCTAGTACTTTCCTGTGACCTCGTTCATTTTCACTTCTGCCAATTCCTACAGAGTTTCCCGCACCTCCACCAGGTGTTTTTGGTGTTCTGGGTGAACTAGCATCAACATCTCCTACTAGATCGGTATTAGTTCTATATGCATCAACGTTAAAATCTGGACCAAAGAATGTATTTCCTGTCAACTTGACACTAGAAGTTGATTTTGGAGTAGCAGATATTGATGTATCTGATTCGATGTCATCCTCATTCACTATTAGAAAAAAATTTTTATTGTAATATTTAAATTTTTAGATAAAAATTAAAAGATACGTGCCCTTTTATAAAATTATTAAATAATTTAATAATTATATAAAAATATATAAAAATATAAAAATATTAACTTATATAACTTATATAAAAATATTTACTTGTGGGCCTATGAGGTCCTTGCGCGGATTTTTTTCTATAACTTTGCATTTGTATCGACGATTGTAAATTTGATGGATGTAAACCAGATGTTACTACTGAACTATGACCAGATGAACCCACTGTATTGATACTGATTGCACTTGGACTTTGTATATCTTCTGGTTTAAATTCTGGTAAGGATGAGAATTTTTCTTGGAAATTTACTTGCTCCAGAACTCTATATACAAAAAATTATATTTTTGATTGTAAATTTAAATTTAAATTTAACATAATGATAAAATTCAAATAATTTTTAACTTTTCATACCTGTCCATTCCATCTTCGACATTTTTTTTGAAAAAAGAACCCTTCTTGGTAGATGGTGACGGCGAAGCATGAGATTCTGAAAAATTTTGTTGTTGTTGTATTTGTTCTGTAGCTTGAGATGTGTTTGTTTGTGGACGATTATCACAATGTTGAGAAGTCAAAGGCCCATGGTCTCCTGCATTTGATGTGGGAGGCATTGCTATAAAAAATAAAGAATGTATATATATATATATTTATGTTTTATATATTTTCATTTATATTTATTATTTAAAATAATTATTAATATATCATTAATATATCATGAAGTTAAATAAAAATATACCCATTGACTGTCTCCTTTGTAACGGTGCTCGACCAAGTTGTGCTGGAGTTGGAGCAAGCATAAAAGGACCTTTACTTGGACCTATATCATTAGGTTGTGTTTCATCCATAGAATATGATTTATTTGTGGGAATTTCAGTACTACCATGATTACTAAGAGGTGTATGAGGAGTATGTGGAGTAGATGGCTGTTTATGTTTATCATTTGTAGCAGATAAAAGAATATTCACAGTATCTTTTCTTTCTTGATCAGATTTTACATTAGTTACTGAAAAAATATAAAAACCATTTTTAATTCAAAATATATACAATATCATTAAAAATTATCATAAAAAATATGATTTACCATAAAATTGGGCATGATTATTTCCTATTTGATTTTCATTTTTTTCAGGTTCTGCAAGACGAGCTATTGGATGACCAATTCCTCGATAAGTTGACGTAGTGGAAGTTGTTGGAACCGAATATGGTTTGGTCACTATTACACTTTGGGTTTCCATTTTATTGCCAGAAACTAAAGCTTGGGAAGATATATTACGATTGCCAGCATCTATAAAATATAATTTGTATTATATTTATTTTATATAAATTTTTATAAATATATTTTTATATAATATAAATTAATAAATCATTTTAATATTAAAAATAATATTAGAAGAAGTTATAATAAATATATAAATATTATAAGTAGTAATTGCAAATAATATTTTATTACAATAAAAAATAATAAAATTTTGAAATAATTATATAAAATTAATTATATATAAATTATATTTTGCAAAAACTTACCAGAAATAGGTATATGAAATCCACAATACATCCGGGAATGAGGTGGTGTTGGACCAAGATACTGTGATCCCTGCTGCGGTTTGGAAACAGCCACCAAATCGTTATCGAGCAATGTTAGAGTGAACGATGGTTGATAAGGAACAGCTGAAGTAAGGGGGCGAAGAATAGTGCCTAAAGACTGCAACGGCTGCTGTTGTTTAAACAGAGCCATCATAGGTTTCGATCCAATCTGTCAGTTAAACTTTTATAGTTTAATCTTTGAGTTTATTCGCATGTGTTTACATAGCACCTTTTAGAAAAGCTTTAAGAGTTCGCTGCTCCCTCAATTCAGGTTTTAATTGGAAAATAGAAAAAAAAAAAAAAAAAAAAAAAAAAAANAAAAAAAAAAAAAAAAAAAACAAAGAAAGAAAGAAAAGAAATAATATTGCAGCAAGGTAAGTGTAGGCACGTGCGAATAGCACTCGAATTATACTTAAACTTTATAGTAACTATTCATACCTTATATTCAGACAGTAGTAAAAAATAATCATTTATGAGATAATAAATAATTGATTGTTTGAGTGTAGGTAATATAATTATATTTGTTAATTCAAAAAAATATGAAAATTACTATTTATCCTTCACTCAAACGATAAATATAGAATTTTTAAGTATTCACACATGCCCGAATGAAAAGGATTATTTTACAGGATATTAGGAAAATAAAATATTTAAAAAATTTTAAAATTATATAATTCATTGAATTCATTGTATAGGTTCAATTCGTCTGGACCATTGTAGGTATGTATGTTACTATTATACATTTTTAATAATTTATATATTTGTAATACTTACAGAATGTAATACCGGAGCAGCCGTAAATTTAGGTATATTTCTTCCATTTTCATGAATACTTGCTACTAAATTACTCATACTATATTGAGTACTATATTGTTGCTCATTTTTTACTGGTTCTGGTTTAATGACTTTTGGAGATATTGGCATAGTTATAAAAGCTCCACCTGTAGGTTGAAAACCTGATACTCCAGTTGGATTGACAGGACTATGATAAGGATATGTGCTGGGTAAAACAGAAACGCTTCCTCCTTTGTCCATAGAAGTATGATGATATTTCGTCGTAGTTTCAATGCCTGTTGAAGGTATTCGTGCTAGACGAACGGAGAAATTAAATTTATCATACTATACTACATTGTTGAACATCATTGTTGATTTTTATATAATTAAATATTAAAACAAACCTTTTATCGGCTTAGGCCTACAGGTTATTTCTTGTTTAACATTTATTGCTTCTCTCTTTTGACCAGTTACAGGTGAGAACCGTGATTGCATATAACATTTCTTTTCAGTGTCTTCATCTTGTACATCATTATCACTATCTGTCAATTTATCTTTGCATTTTAAATCTATTTCAGGTTGTGGATCTTCACAGATTACCATTTGATCTTCATCTGACGCATTACCATCTTCGTCCTGTTTTAAATCACATTCTGTATTTTCAACTGGTAAAGGCATTTCCATTATTCGATGTGTATGTGACTGATTAATAACCTAATAAAATATATAAATATATTATTTAACATAAAAAAAATTAAAACATTTAAATAACGTAGATTAAATTTACCTCAATCGTGGGAGCTTCATTATATACCGTAGTAACGGGAACAGTAATTTCGTCTGTAGCTCTTGGTGTTAATGGTACATCATCTGCTGGTGGTCCCATATCCGTTTCTTCTCCAGTACTATTTAATTTCCCTCGAGATTCGCTACCTTTAAAACTTGTCGTTGAAGATTTTCGTCTATCTTTACTACACCATTTCCAATCTGGATGTGCTTTAAAATGTGCTTCTTTCACTTCTGATGCAAGATCATGATATTTTTGTTTTTCTTCTGGTCCTAAGGCATACCACCATTCCCCCAATATTTTAGACACAGTACGATTATCTTGATTCGGATGTCTTTGATGCACTACTGCACGATGTCGTTTAGAAAAAATCATAAATGCATTCATCGGTCGGCGTATTCTATCTTTAGTCTGTGAAATTATATTATAAATTTTTAAAATTAATCCCATTTCATTTATATTATATTATATTAAATAAAATTTAAAATATAATATTGTTTTAAAATAAAAATTGTAATAATATTCTTATCACATTATTCTTATTAAACTTACTTTAAGAGGACTCTGTGGTTCCTTGGAATGCAATGCACTAAGGGATTGACTGCGTCTCTTATTAGCATTAGCTTCAACTTCTGCAGGAGTTGTGGGTTCTGTTTCAAAAACATCATCATCTTCTTCTTCAGCTGGAGTTATAGGATCTGGTCCTGGTCCAGATCCATCTTCACCAGGTGTACTCATACTAATTGGAATTGGAGGTGCACTTAATGGTGGACTCAATGCAGATGGTGGAGGACTCACTTCTGATTGATCTAAAACTGTTGTTTGCCAAGGAAAAGCTGCTGCAATAAAATTTTTGTATTAATCACAATGACTCTTTGATTAATTCTGAAAATAATAGCAAAAAATATATTATTATAATTTACTAAAGTTAAATTGTTTTCATAAAAGAAAATGTTAGTATATAATAAAAATTATTTTATGAATAAATTAGTGAAATATATATAATTAATATTATGATATATAATATATTTTAAATATATTGAAATATAATATATTTCAATATACTGAAATATAATATATTTTAAATGACAGTTTAAAGATATTATAAAATTTAAAATATAATAAAAAAAAATTAATATCATCTATCCTCAATCTTAAAGTAATATTAAACATTAAATATTGAATCATATTTTGATTTAAATAAAATGAGATAAAATATATAATTCAAATATTAACAAAAAATGAATCAATTGCATTTTCTGTAAAACAGATAATGATATATTTTGTATAATTCATACTTATTCATAAAATAAATTACAAAAATTATAAAATTATTAAAATATTTATTATATTTATATAAATTCATTTTTTTAATAATATCATAATTATATATATATTAAGTTCTAATAATATAATATATTATAAACAATAATAATACATATAAAAAATATTTAAATTATGTTGTTACTATTATTAAATTTTTCTACTAAAAATTGATATAAATTGATATAGAAATTATTGATATAGATATAAATAAGTTATTTCAATTATTAATATAATATATATCAATATATATCAATATATTATTAATATAATATATATCAATATTCTTTTAACAATTTTATAAAGTAATTCAATAATTTTATAATATAAAAATATATTTTATATTTATTAAAAATTATTTTTTTAAATAAATATAAGATTGATCATATGTATCATTGACATATTTTCAATAAATATTAGAATAATAATATATTTTATTTGACATTTAAAACTCAAACCTTTTTTCCAGTTGCGCCCTGCATTATTCAGTAATGATGGGGGATGGGACTGGTATGCAGGAGGAACATCATGACTACCATCTGTGGAAATCTTATTATTATTAGTCAAATCCGCTAATTAATGTAAAATGATAAGATGATATAATATAAACGCAATCATAAATAAAAATTATATAAAACAACAATTTTTTATCTAATATTAAATTATGTAATAAAATATATTTAATAATAATCTACCAATTAAAAAATAGTTTCTGACATAATATTATTATGAATAAAATTTGAAATTAAAAAATAAAAAATTATAACAATTATTCTAAAACAAAAATAAAAAAATAAAAATAAAGTTTAATCACTTTAACATAAAAATATTAAAATAATTAAGAAATAATGTTTACAAAATAATGATTTTGAAATCCATAAACTTACACAGAACTCCATTATTTTTAGAATTTTCTTCCCTAGATGATTGCGTTTTAGGAATCTGTACCAAATGCCCAGGTTGTACAATTACATGTTGGAAGACACTTGTTGGAGTAGGCGGATTTGAAGCTTCAGTAGTTGTCATCACAACACTCGTAGGAGGTGGTTGTGTTCTTTGCATATCCATATGAGTAGATACATGTGTAGCCACTTTATTTGCCTAATAATAATGATATATTTTATTTTATTAGATATATTTTTTACATTTAATATTGTAATCAAAGTGAAGTTGAAATTAGTAATGAAAGTAAATGAAATTACTAATAAAATTATTAAGATTGCTTACTTGTAAAACGGATAATTTGTCGACATGGACGGATGAAACAGCAGGTGATTGTGGAGGCTGACATTGCGTTTGATGTAATGTTGCTGGAAGTTGACCTAAGTGATTCATTAATGCTGGTCTATATTTATCATCTTGATTAGTTATATGGCCTGCTGCAGATACATCCATACTATTTTTTATCACAAGATACTTTTTTTCATGTTGATGCTGCATCACATAAATTGGCTGATTTTGCGTTTGTGGTTGAGCATAATCAACAGGTTGTTCCAAAGGCTTATGTAGAAGAGTCAAATTTTGTGGTGTTGATGTAGATAGTGGCATATGAGGTGAATGAGATGGTTTTAATATTTGTGAATTTTGTTCTGAAATTTCAGAATGATTAGAAAAACCATTATTCGTTGTAAGTGCATGTTGAAGAATGATGCCTTGTTGTTGTTGAGCTATAGTCGTCACAACCGATGGATGCCGCGGCGGTGGGCTTTGTTCTGACCATGATGAAGTTAAATTGGATCCTGGTATACCACGACTTACAGGAGAGATTCTTATCACGCTTGTTCCTATACTAGCAGGAACTGGGGCAGTTGGAGCTGAACGATTCGATCTAACCACTCGATTCGGTTCAGGCTTTATTACTTGCTGTTGATATTGAGTAAGGAAAGTAGATTGAGTAGGTGAATGTTTCCATTTCGCACCAGGCGAGATTAATGGAGTTGCATGATGAGCAGGACTTGAAATAGGCATAAACACATTATTTTGATTCAGTCCCAAGGGTGGTACTGGAGATTGATTGATACAAGGAGATATCGAAGATTGTCCTGTTGGTGAAGAGAAAGCTGGTGTTGCCGATCTAGAACTTCCTAAGGAGACTATAATAAAAAAATATTTATTTTTTTAAATTAAAAATTCAAAAATTTCGTAAAATATTAAAATTTAAGAATTTACCAAGCATATTAGCAGCTTCAGTTTCATCTGGATCAAATCGTCCAGCAATTCTTTTATCTCCATAATTTGGAGAAGTATCAGAATCTCTAGATGTTTCTTCACCATCCATTTTGCCACTAAATATTTCCATTATTTAATATACAAAATTACTAAATTATTATATTTAATTAATAAATAATTACTATTTTTCTTACCCAGAAAAAGTATTTGTTGGACCTCTAAGACAAGATCCTTTCAAACTAAGATGACGAGAACAATATCCTCTTCGTTGACTTTCTTTGGAACATCCTTCTTTACTACAAAGTCTACGCCATTGTTTACCATTAAATTTTTTTCTAACTCCACTTGGTGTAGCCACTACATCACCTTTTTTATATCTATGTGGCGTTGCCGCCTGAGATCTATTTAATATTGAACAATTCAATATTAAATTTATAATTCTTCTATATTTTTTATTTATTAATTAAATCCTATATTTTATTTAATTAACATTATTACCTGGGCGTGGCTGCTTGAGAACGAGGAGTTATACTGCGTTGTTCAACTAAACTACTGGTACTTCCTCGACTTTGCATGCTGCTTCGTTTACTGCTCCCTGACAATTTTGCATCTGTCAGTTGAATATATTTATATTATTATTATTTTTATTAATATAAATAAAGTATAAAATTAGAAAAAATAGATATAATAAAAGTTATTAAAAAATAAAATAAATATTATAAAAATTCCGAGATATTAGTTACAATTAAATTACAATATTATAATTTATTATAATAATATTCTGAAATATATAATTTTATATAATTTTCTGAAAATTTATTTCATTTCATTTCATTAAGAATAAAAATTCATTTCTAATAAATATTTTATTAAAAATTTCTACATTTAATAATTTTTAATAAATTTAAATACACAATAGAATTGTGTATTATCTAACCTGCATCTGAAGGGAATGTAATATCTTCCCTATCTAAGTCATCTTCACTTTCTAAATCATCATACGGTCGACTTCCATTACTTAATGCTGTAGTGGCAGGATGTGCAGAAGTGCCTAAAGTCATGAGAGGACTAGTACCAGTCGTTCTATAATAACCACCTGTGTCGCTATGAGTTGATATATGAGATGTATGATGAGAAGTGTGATGAAGTTGCAAAATTGGCACTGCTGTTGGAGCTTCTGAAGAATTTCGATAGCCATGTTCTACGAATCAAAAAAATAAAGGATTTATTTCAATGAGAATAAAATTTCTTATTAAAAAATTATATTAAGTTTTTAATTATATTTTATAGAGATATATTATACCAATTCCTTCGACCCTCGCAGAATCACAGTCTTCTAATCCTTCCTCTAATTCGTCCCACCAAGGAGGTTGCACTAATCGTAGATCCGCACGTGTCACAACATAACTATCATTTCGATCATCTTCCCTTGATATTTTAACAACAAAACGCTTAGGATTTGATAAAATCTTGCACACTGTCCCTTTTACAAACACTTTAGCCGCATCAATATGATTGTTTGATGGACACTTGATACAAACTTTTGCATCTAAAGTCACTTGCCCAACCGAGGGGCTCGCATCACCTATCACATCGTACCTTCCCGCACCCAAAACGTCAGTGTAACGCATTAGTTTTCTTTCTCCATCAAACTCAATATAAATTTCTCCTTGAACAACATTACGAATAACACCTGGATAATAATATGAATCCCTTAAAGCTAACACTCTGTGGTCGCGCCACTCACTGAGATCAATAGCAACAGGCCGAGGACGAGGACGTAAAGATTCCTCTCGAACAGAATAATCCACTGCTGTACTTTGAGGTGGTAAAACTACCACTGAATGTGCCGAGGATACCTAATATTAAAATATCATGATTAATACATATAGAACTATATTTAAAAATATTATTTCAGTTTGATGAAATATCTTTTTGATGATGTCTTCAAGATTCCTATTATTTATAACTTTTTTATATCATTTTTTACCCAAAGTATAAATAAAACAAAAATTATCATAAACTGTATGAACATTATATTTAAAAAAAGAAATTTTTTATATGTATTTTAGAAAATAAATAAAATATATTTTCTTGAAATTATTTATTAAATATTTATATATATGAATTTGTAAAATAATTAATAACCGTTTTCATTACTAAAGCATACACATATATTCTTAAATCTTGAACAAATTTAAGTTTAATAATTTCATAACCATTTTTCTCTTTTTTTAATAGATATCAAAAATAAATTATGTACATAAATTATATATAATAATTTATATATATATAAATTAGATAGAATGTAGATACTATTTATCAAATAAGAAAATATAAATTTTTTTTAAATAAAATGTTATGAATAATATAATTTAACTTTCTTATTTCTTCAAAAATTTGCATAAAACTTAATAATTTAAAAAAATAATAAGATATTTTACATAAATTGTGTTTGCATTTTATTGATAAAATTCATACTTTCTTTTACTCTATTTTTAAATTATATTTTTACGAATCATATTCGTATTTCTAATTAATAATCATTTAATATTATATAGTTTATCATAGAGAAAAAACTTCTTAAATATTTATCTTTATTCTTAATTTTCTCATAATATTTGTTTCATAGTACAATTTTTTATGATTATTTCAATAGTGAAATCATTTTAAAAATAAAAATTTCATTATTTTAATAACCAGGAAAGTATTTAAAATCACAATATATCTTATTACTTATTACATTTTTGAAACTTTAATTTGATATTTCACCAAGATATTATCTTATAGTTAATTCTCTTATAAAATTTTTCTTGCTATACGCACTTGATAACAATCGGATTCTTGTTGTTGCGGAGATTGCCGAGTTGCTGAAGTTGACTGTTGAACTAAACCTGATTGACTGAGTGGCATATTCGGTGCCCGTATGTTTACCATATTATTTACGGTTCTTGTTACATTACTGCTTTTATCCATTTCCTCAAGCTCCGATAAATCATATTTTCGTTTCTTTGGAAGTTTCTTAGCACTGATCGTTGGATCAGACGGATCCCGCTGAGGAGGCACCGGCGGCGGGGGTGGTTGTTCCGGAATAGATTTCTCTTCAATCGAACTGCCGCCACCACCCCCGCCTGCTCCATATTGTCCGCCTCCAAGGGGATCCCGTTTTTCGTGCATCTCAGAGTGAGCAGTCAGCATTTTGGCCACCTCACGCTGCTCTGTAAATTAAGAATAAAATATTAAAAAAAATTTTTTTAAGATTTTATTCATTTTTAAACATTTAAAAAGAATTCTAAAATCACTTTTTTATAATTTAAAAAGTTAGGCAATTTAAAAATTAAGAATAAAAAGAAGAAAGAAAATATAGAGAAATGAATAGATCAAATTCCACATGATATAAAAAGTAGATGTAAGAAACGAAGAATTTTAATTTATTTTTTATTTATAAATGATTTTATTATTTAATAGAATTAAATATCAATTGAATTTTTATTATAATAATAATGCAATATATATTCAACTTGAATATAAAATTCAAAATTCTGAATTATTTAGAATATAAATTTCTAATTGTTTACAGAGATGATTCATAAAAATAATAATATTCATTGCGTTTGTAAATATTATGCATGAATACTAGAATGAATAGATAAATATAAAATTTGATTCATGATCATTAATCTATATTCATTAATCTATAATTTTATAAAACTAATATAAGATAATATTACATACATAAATATTTAAGTATATATGCATTTTTTTTTAGCTTAGTAACTAAGTTTCAAAATATACATAAAAATATTACAAATAGTAAATACATAATAGTAAATATGTAATAGCTAATATAATTATCAATTTCATTTCAATTACTGTCATTGTTTAAAATCTTATATAACTTTATAAAATATTAATAATATAAACAATATAATCTTGTGATATTATCTAAAAAAAATAATAAATAATTTCATATAGAAGTAGTTTATTTTTATCTCATTATATTAATGATATTATATGTATTTTAAACATTTAAAATTAAGATAAAAGATATTTTCTGAATTATATATTCAATTTCATTTATACACTAGAATTTTATATTTAGAATGTTTGAACTGCGAGTATTTCTATGTTCGATTTCGTAATATTTAAGTAATAGTTATTTAGTGTTACGATGTAACTAATACTTCGTTAAATCACCATTTCATAATTTCCATAATTTATTAATTTATATTAATAAGAAAATAATAACAATTCTTTATTTTAATTGTCACCAGTAATAATTTTTATATTGAATGTGAAACATTTGTAAGTTGTTTCTTTTTAAGAATAAAAATTGAAAAAGAATTTTTAATCTCACTATTATTTTACAAACTAAATTAATATGCAATTTATATATTCCTTCATAATATAATAATATAAAAAATGATAATTTATTGCATGAAATGAAAATTTATTCTACTTTTATTATTTTTCTAATAAAAAACATTTTTTATAGCAAACAAATGTATTTTTATTATATCTATTAAAATTGACTTTTAAAAAATTTAAACTTAAATCAATTTAAATATAAAAAAGTCGATTAATTTTATCATGAAAGCAGATATGTATTAATTTTCAATGAAATTATACTATATCTGTATATATATTATATTATTTTATTATACACTATATTATAAAAAATTTTTAGAAATATTAAAATAGTGTACTAAAATTTTTATATATAATATTTAATATAATAATATTAAATATAAAAATAATTATTTATAATTTTTTTATAAATTTTTGAAAAATTAAATTTTTTAACAAATAAAAATCAATCAATCTCGTAGGAAATTCTTAAATCGATTCTAATATCTATTATTACTCTGATTCTCAGAAATACAAATGAACTTTGTTTTCAAAAGTGAAAGCGTTATTGTACTTGCAATCCTAACGCTCATCATTTACTTTCCCCAATTCTAATAAGAAATAAGACCACATAATCCAAATGATTGAACACATTAGTCTTATTCAAATAAATTCATGAGTCATTATACTTCGAAATAATAAAAAAAAAAAAAAAAAAAAAAAAAAAAAAAAAAAAAAAAAAAAAGAAAAAAGAAGAAGAGGAAAGAACAACTAGTCATCGATTCTTTTCCTCAAACATTTTTCTCTCTACAAACACGAGTAAATAAATTTGTGTAACGCTGATATTTTATTTTTAAAAGAACAAAATCAATAAGAAAACTTTTAAATATTATGTTTATAGCGAATAATATAAACAAAAACTTATTTAATGAAAAACAATATGGAAAGTTATCAAAATTTTGATTTAATTTTAAAAAAAATCGATGTTGTAAGTTTATTAATTATTAAATAATATATAATATCTAGATTCATGAATAATTTTACATTACATCATTATTTTGTTAAAAATACATATACAAGATTATAACATATATAATAAATTACGATTTCAAGAATAATTTTAATTTTCAGAATAATTTACTTTATTAATTTGTAAGTTATTGGAAATGTCGTTTCTGATGTTGGATATTCAAACTTGTATTTATTGATATGAAAATAGTGAATTAATGATATACCACAAATTAACGCTTCTTTGAACATAACATTTGTATTATATTTCTTAATTGAAATAATTTTGATCATTATTAATATAAAATATCGTTTTAGTTAAATTCAATAACAAATGAATAAAATAAATAATATCAATTGATTTTAAGAATCAATAAATAAATTATATAAAATATATTATTCTATAAATAATTCAGTTTCTTCAATGTATATGTATATTATATATAAATAAACGATTAAGTATTAGTAAATAATCAATAATATTTTATTATTAAATAATCAATAATACTTTCTTTTATATTTAATATTGTATATCATTCTTCTACTAATTTTTTTGTTCCTTTCTTTTCATAGAATATCTATTGTGATAAAATTCATTATTTTAAATTCGCTTTGAAAAGTTGTATTATTTATTTATTTATTATTACTATTATTATTATTATTATTATTATTATTATTATTATAATTACTACTATATTATAATTACTACTTATTATATTACTACTTTATTATTATTTATTATTATTACTTAATATATACAGTTTCTTTTTTTAAGTTTTATTATATCTATATATATTTTATCATTATTTATATAAATTATAAACAATACTACAAACATAATTTAATCTAGAATATTAGATTTAATATTTAGATATCATTTTTCTTTTTTTATTTCCAGTTTTAAAAAAATAAAACTTTTTAAAATTAAAATAAAATTATCTGAAAATTAATTGTAACAAAATTGATATCGTTGAAATTTATATTTTTGCTTAATTCTTTTTGTATTTATTTATAGAAAATTAACGACTATTTTTTAATTAAAGGATTAATCATGATTTATATAATAAAAGATTTTAATATGAATGAGAATTTTGTAGTTTTTCTAATATAATAATATTTGTAAAATTTTTAATGGAAGTATCACTTTTTATTACTAATATCTCTCTGATTTCGAAACTAAATTGATTTATTTGATTTATTTTCAAATAAAAATGAAAATTTTGATTTTTGAAGAAGTTTATTAATCTTTTATCAATCTATTAACATAAAATCTTATAACACAAATCAAATTTTTATCAAAAATAATACTTTTTATATTTACAATTTTCTTTTGCATAAGAAATATCATTTTATTGTTGCAAAATAAAATATTGTACTTTTAGAATAAAAAAATTAAATTTGATATCATGTGATTCTGATAATAGATTTAGTATTTCAATTACCTAATATAAAACTTTCTTGAAGAACATCTTGATTATTTATTTAATGGATTATTATCCACTTATCTTGATTTACTATTGTTTGACTTCAATTTTATTTATAATTATATAATTTTAAAGTAATATTTTTAAAAATAGATATTTACAATCATAAATAATAATATTATTAAAAATACTTATGAATTTAAAATAATATTGTCATGAAAATAAAAACTTCATTCTTAATATCATTTTTATACAGGTGTATCAAAAATTGATTTAGGATTTAATATTCTTCATCTGAAAAATATAATCTTTTAATAAAAATGAACTCAATATTGTATATATAATCTAGTTTTAAATTATAAATATACATATATTATATATATATACATATACTTACAGTCTGTACAGTCGAGAGGAGGCTGTGTGCTGAAATGTGGCGAGTTGAAGCTGGGAGGGTGGTGACACCGGCTGGGTGCATACCTCAGCACCCGGCTGTCGGGGACAGGATGCGTCGAGTCTGGGCTCTCTCGTCTTTGTCTATCTTGTGACAGGGTTGCTGTTCCCTCTCCCAACTCCAATTCTTCTTCCCAGCCCCAACTGCCGAGCATCCTCCTCCGAAAATTCTCTTCTTAGGCGAACACTTTTCTCTTCTTTCTTAATTGTCTCGTACCTCTAGTCAATGTCCTGCATAACAGAACGTGTTTCAAAAAGGTTACTATAGAATTTTGCAAGTATTCGATTCTCACAACGCTTGGGATTATACTTGTCTCGTTTGTTTCGTGACGATCTCTTAAAAGCAACAAAAACTACCAAGATCTCAGTATTTTTATGTTCCAGTAATTTCTCCCCCTCCCTCTCATCTTCTATTATACATCGACGATATGAGTTATTAACTTCTCCATCTTTTTGGTATAAAGGGTATGGTCTTTAGGACATAAATATAGTTGAGAATAAAATGACAGAAACAAATGTTCTTCTCTCTCTCTCGAATTTTATTCTCAAATTTACTCGTAGATTTAATATAAATACATTAAACAAGGATATTTTTATTTATTAAAATTATGCATATATTATAAATCAAAATTCTTAATCATAATTAAAAAAAAATAATATTAGAAATATTTATGTTTAATAAATAATCTTTTATCTATTATTTATTATATATATAGAATTAGTTCTCAAGTTAACTATCAAATAAACTTAATAATTCATTCTTATATTGCTATATTTTTCTCGTCAATCACTGTTAATATTATTAAATTTTATTTATTTTTTTTAAATTTTCAAACTATTTATCATATTATCTTTTTAAATTGTTTGATCGAAAAATAATTCTAATCTTATTTTAATAATATTATAAATACAAATAGAATTATACATAATGACATAGCAAGATAATAGAACAGATTAATATTCAAATAGAATAAACCACTAATCTAAAGAAATTAAAAGTGATTCTCAAATTACAAGTATGTCTCGATTATCGTTCGTAATGGAAACCACTTTTTCTCTCGAATTACCGCGGTTTATTATCTGCATCGCGAGAAAAAATCATATCGAAATCGATAAATTGCATCGAGCTGGTCCATTTGCTATGGAACCAAATAAAATTTTAATATTGAACGTTCAATAGTATAATTCAATATATCGAACAAAAACTTGTGACGAAAAGTGTTCAATTTGTATAATCAGATTTTACACGTCGTTACAAAACGATCCCGAAGCTTATGAAACAACTGTTGATTGCGTTCTTCCAAACATTTCTTTCAAAACTTCTTTCGTTTGTATATATACGAAAAATTAATATCAAAAAAAGTATCACAAATATTTTTTATCTAACAATAAATATTAAGTGATATATTTATATTTTTGATTTAAGTAAAAGTTACTATATTAAACTAAAATTACTATATCGTGAGAAAATATATATAAAAAAAAAATTAGAATTAAACATCAAATTCAAATTTGATACTTTTAACAAAGTTACGAAAGAAACTTTTTTGTATACAAATAAAAAAATAAAGTTAAAAATATTTGATTGTTATATATAAATAATTTTAAAAAAAAAGCAAAAAAGAGTTAATTCAAAAAAAATTACAGGATTTCTCATTACTGATGATGAATATTTTTGAATTGACATTAAAAAAGAAATTTGTGAATTGAATAATTGATAATTATATATTCAATAATTTATAATTACATATAATTTAATATTTTATATAATTCAAATAAAATACAAAATAATCTTACAAATTATATTAATAATTAATTAAACTAGAATCTCTTCTTTTCTAATATCAATCTTTGTTTGAAACAAAGAATTTATTAACATGATAATGTATAAAAAAGTAGTTTGAAGATATATTATTTATAATATAAAAAGTTAAAAATCCAACGAACCTCAAATATTAGCAATTTAGAAAACTGTCTGATAATTGCGTAAATAAAATCAATACATTAGTTTACACTGAATACCATGATATTCGCATTTTTTATATACACTCTAATAATTCAATAGTTGGGGTCAGAATAAAATCACAAAGAACGAAAACGTCCAAGCTTTGGTATCGAATATCACTTCGACCTTCAAGCTGACAGGAATCATCTTAAAAAACACAGCACGACACAAATGTATACACAACTCGCGATTCACGTGTGTGAGCTGTAACGAGAAACAAAGATTGGCACGCGCGACATAACCTATTCAAGAAATCACCGTGTTTCTTTCGCAAAGCGGAGAAAAACGATTGCGCTTTGAGCCGGCTCTCACTTCCGTAGCAGTGCCCGACGAAGATTCCAGGGGCGACTAACGAGTAGTCAACAGGCACTTAGTCGCCGCCGCCACGAATTACGGAGAAGTAAGAGTGCGCGCACACACAAACGGCTGAGGAAGCACACGCACGGTGGAGACGCACTCGCGAAAGCGAACAAACGAACGTGAAACGAGAACTAGATAGGAAAGTTTCGAGGTGAGGTGAGACAAAGTCGATCTCGCACATCGATTGGAAATCACGCGTAACACATTGATCATAGTAGTACGTCTACCCCAATCATGTCTTGATTCTCTGTATATGGAAAAATGAAAGAGAGGAAACAATGGGAAGAAAGATGAAGAGGATACGATATTAGCTTCTGACTGCGAAACAAGGATAAAACATATATGCGTGACGTTCTTATCTTAGGTTTGAGTGAGCAAAACAATAAACAGAGGGGAAAAATAGTGAAAAAGAGATAGGAAAAAGAGTTAAGAGAGTGAAGAATGAAAAAAAGAAAAAGAAAGAGAAATGTTACCACGCTTCTTCGCGTCCTACTACCTTCGACGCGATCGCTACACTGATACTGAACCGAGTTCGCCCCGTGGCCCAAGTTCTTGGAGGAAAACAACGCGCTCTCGTGATCGGCGTAGTGTGAGTAAAGGACTAAGGGGGAATGCACTAACCTCGCTACTCCCTACCACGAGGCTGACTCACGTTGTGCCTGCCTTGCCTGCTCCGAAACTCTCCGCCATTGTGGCGTATCGGTCGGTCGACTCTTTCTTCCCCTTTCTCCTTTCCTTCTCCCACTCTTTCGTCTTCTCCATCACTTCTTTCCTTTACTCTATTCTTTCTGTATCTTCTTCTCTTTCTCTTTCACAACGTTAACATAATATTGTGGACGCGCGTTTACAGGTACGTGAGGGTGGTCGAATGTCTACATGTGTACCGGGACGAAATTCAAAACCTGTTACGTGACGCCCAGAAGATAATACTGGTGTCCGAGCCAAACTTGTCCATTTTCGATTTGAAATTCTTATCGTCTACCTTCGATTGGATTTCTTTTTCAAAAAATCATTCTGTTTGTTTTTTACCTATTATAATTTTCAATCGATTAGATAAATGGAAAAATTAATTTCTCATTGTTTTGATTCTGCCACGAAAAAGCAATTCTATTCAATGTTCGAATATTGTTCCGTTTTAAGACATGACCATTTTAAGAATGCAAATATATTTCAAAATGTTTATCGTCTTCTCGATAAAACTAGTGCGGAACATTATAAACATAATGTAACAAATAATTGTTGTTTAATATACTTATTTTAATTATATTTAATCTTAATCAATTTAATTAAACTATAATAAAAATATTTAATATCAACTGCGTTTTTTATTAAAAAAAAGTGAGAAATTTTGAAACGATCAGATATATACATTATTATTTAAAATTACTCTCAAGATAAATATCTTCTAGGATAATGTATCTAATTATATATAGATAAATCTATCGAACTTATGATATAAAATACAAAATTAAAAAATTTCAGAAAAAATATTTATTACAGAGAAACTTCTGACGATTCCAATTAATCATATGTACAATATAAATATATAATATCTTCACACTTAGATCAATGAATTTGTGACACTGATACACGAATCATGTATCGTCAAGATTAACTTGCTACCATCAAAGTAGAAATGAGTCATCATGCATGAGTAATATGATAAAACTAGGTTTCTAATTGTTATATAGTCATACTAATGTAAAATACACGTGTACATACAGAAACAAAAGAAAAGAAATATATTAATAAGTTGCATATTTTAATTCTTCGTTTATGTTTGTATGAAATTAAATAAATTAATAAATAATTTATAAATAGAGAAAATTTGCATAATTAACACCAATGAGGAATAGATAACATCATTACCGATGAACGTATTTAATACTATTTCACTTAAATTGCTTGCTTCTTCCAAGAAAATGAATACAATACGAGAAAGGAAAGAGAAAAAAAAAAAAAAAAAAATAAAAAAAAAAATGACTTGTAGAAAATAAAGTCTAAGAAACTTCTTGGCATCTCTTTGGCTTGTTTACGTCGATATCAACGGCGTGTCGCGTTACTAGTCATTCGATATTGTCAAAACAGGAGACTTCTTCAGCAAAGACAACCAAGGGATGAAGTTACCCCAATAGTGATCGAAAAAGCCTACCAAAAATACTGTTCTAATTCAATTAGAGTAGGGTGCACGCGATGCGCAAAGGAAAGCACATATATTCAAGGGAATTACATTTTCGAAAGTAATTAAATTAACGTCGAAAATGTAAACATTGACAAAAAACTACATAATACAGCAAGGTTTTAATTTTGCTTTAACGACTAATAGCTTGAACAAACTTTACGAGCAATTCTTTATTTTACATTCGTTTTGATTGGTAACGCTTGCAGTTATAACGATTTTATTTTCATTAATAAAAACAAATGTAAAAAAAAAGGAAGAGAAAGAAAGAAGATGGGAATTGAAACAATCGGCGTGTATGCAATGCGAAATCTTGCGATACAATGGATAAAACCGGTATATATATACATTACATATTTCTAAAATGTCAGTTAGATGTTCCGTAAGATTATAGAAATTCGAAAACTAGAGTGTGCATACTATGTTACAACATCACACCGTACTCTGCTACACGTGGAAATCCGAATGTAAGTTGTACACGAATGCCCACGCGATACGCCGTGTATTATGCAAAAAGTTCTTTGCGCAACGTCTTTATTAGCGGTCCGCTTTCCCACTGTGCAATAATCGTGGCCGAGTGAAAAAAGAAAAAATCGTTTCCACTTGAATTTATCGCGATCATACCATTATATACCATCCAGTGAGAATTAATCAATTTCTACTACACGCGCTCGTTTGTTTGCGAGC